TAGACGCGCTATCGGCGGCTTGGTCGTCGAGCCTTGAGCGTTAGTAGGGGGATAAGAGGCATCGTCTCGAGAATCGACTCGAAACGTGCATCTAATTCTGAGCACTGATATAATCGAATAAATAATATTAACTTACAAATTTGATGTTTGCATTGAACGCAATGTATTTTATCAGAAAAGTAAGAAAGGAACTTGTAGAGGACAAAATTTTAATAATGAAATCAGAAGTACACTTTGCAGTGAACAAAGGGGAAACCTATGAAAAAAGGAATCATGTTAATATATTTATTGCATTAAAAATTATTTTTATAAGAATATCTTTAAAAGATTATCAGCTTCTAAATGATATCTTTCAAATTAATAATTTCTTTATATAATGAAACAAATAAATTATTGTTACGTCCTACCTGGGGAAGGGCGGTCGGGCCGTAACTAAAGTGTATAACTCGCAGGTCAGAATTTAAAGGATCTGACTCTGTGAGTCGAACGGTTTGTTTGTTTGTTTCTACAAACGGGTCAAAACGACTGGGAAGTCGATTTTACTCCGTTTTGCAGAAATACCGTTCGATGGTTCCCTTTTAGGTTGTGAAATCAATTATCTGGGACGGAACCGTGTGCGTATTACTTATCTCACTCAGATATGGCGATATTAAAATTTTTCACACTTCGTGCCTGTTTAAACAAATTTTCAGTTCCGAAAGATTGTTTTTATTATTTTGTTGTTATTATTATTTGTCTGGAATGGTGTTTTAAGTTGTTAGTCAGATATTTGAGCGTTCACTTTTGGTAACGGAAAAATTTCCATTACCAAGAATCTCTTTGAATTCTGCCAGTTAATCATTGAAAGTTGCGCAAGGGAAAGATTGTGTAAGACGTAGGACGTAACATATAAATGTAATTATGTATTAATATGACATTTATATTTAATCAACTAATAATTATTATATTATATAAGAATTGCTTATTACTACATATTTTAACATATTAATTGTGAATTTGTAAAAGATTAGTATAAATTGTAATACGTTTTATTTGCTTACATAGTAATAATAATAAACTGTTGTCTTACCTGAGCTACAGCAGCAGTCATCAAAATACCGAAGAAAAAAAGGAACTGAAGTCGAACAAGTTTTGATTGTTGATAGGGCCATAAGCCAACAGCGAGTAGAAGATATCTATTCAAATTAAAATGTTGCTCGATAGAGATCATCTCTTTCTGAGTGCTGGTACACGTATGACTATGATGAAATTCACAAACGTGCTTTCACCCCCTTCTTTCTCGACGTATTCATTAAATATTCAATAACTCATTTTCTAGCATATGTTTCAGCGTAAATTTTTCAGTTTAGTATAACACAAGATACTATCGTGAGATCAAAACATGTGCAATTCAACGAATTTGTTAGGAAGATGTGCATTATATAAGCAATTGATTTCAAATTAAATAAACTTCAAAATTTTTCATAGAGAGAAAAAAATATATCTAGAAAACGATTATTTGTACTAATGCTGCACATGCGCTTTTCTCTCTTTTCGATGTCATAACATCATTTCCAAATGAACTCCAAGTAAACTCTTATAGCTCCTATATATATCGTACGTTTATTTTTTGAGAAAAAATTTTTACTGCTTTTTGTATGCTATACGATACATATTAGTTTGAATATCGTGGATTATAGAAGTTAAATTTATAAACGTAAAATAAAATTAATTGATGTTATTTATATTCAAGTGAACATAAAAAGCTGCCGATAATTAGTCCCACATAAGAATTAACACCAACTTTTCTGATTGAATTTTAGTCACTAATCATTATTAAGTTGTTTTAGCCACAAAACATTTCAGTTTATGTTATATATATTTAAGAAAATAAATTTCTTCTAAAAGAATAAAATATTATAGAAGATAAAAACTTTTATTTTTTATCTAGTTCTTAAAACTACTGTACTTTTAATTATTATTATATTTAACTACTATTATATTATATTCTGCTATAATCTATTTTCATCGTGTAGAATGTATGACAGTAAAATAAGATACCGAAGCCTTCACCAACTGCAATAAAATATTTTCTTTTATTCCGACAAAAATACATTATATTTCTAATAAAAATACAATATATTTTTTACCGTGGCAAAACATTCTAACGATCCCACAAAAAGTCCACCGACACGCATTACATATTCCTTAGTGCCCCTTTGCAACAGGAAGAGTATTATTTTCTGCACATTCAGAGGAATTATGTACCATGGAACATTGTATCTACGGATTTTTATAAATAAAGTATCTGTGAGTTGACAAATATTAAAATATTTACAAATAAATTTTAGCTAATAACTCCACGCACATAGCATTATTTTTTATTTTAATTATTTATTTTTTTTAATCTTGTGCAATTATATCTCATAATAAATCTCTTACACAGTAACGAATAAGTAATTATTGATATCTATAATATCTTGTCCCATATAATTTGCTACAAACATGTATAGTATACAGGCAGTTGTTAATGTAAAGGGCCATATCATTTCCTTAATATTAGTCTTGTCAGATGATACAATTTGTGAAATCTAATAATAAACTAATTGTAAATGTTCTGTTTATGTTCTATCAGTTTATAATACATTGTAAATTTTTCTTATCTTCTAATCTTATCTTTAAATAGTAAAAAATGCAACAAATTTATATGAAAAAAAAATTATGTACGGTTGGTGAAATAACAATAAGATAGAAAGATTATTCTTAACATAATGGTATTATTAAAATTAAGTTTTAATGGAATAGTAAATTTCATAATAAAGTTTAAAATTTAAATTTGAAGCTTACTCGAAAAAGATTGAGGCTCAGAGAAATTACTCCGATAAATATTAAACAACCTAACATGACTTCAAATTTCGATGATATTACTCCGGTTAACCTTTAAAAATAAAATTTATTATTGATGTATTGTATGTATACATTATCAAGATATATACAAACTTCATTGCTTGCCGATGAATGTCTACAGCGCAAGTTATCTCATCAAGAATTAAATTTTTGCTTTTAGGATTATTATTTTCTAATATAATAATTTTCATTATGCGTTCAATACGATAACTGTAAAAAACTAAACCAATATAAATTATCAAATCGTTTTTACTCGCATATACATATTTTGTCTTTATAAAGTAAACGTTATCTTTATTTGTTTATAGAATAATAATACAGTATTTTTATAATTTGAATATTTATAGCTGTTTCTATGTTTACTTCGTACCTGGCGAGTCTAAACATTCCACAAAAATGTTGGACAAATGCAACAAGTATTGTTCCTGTTGCCGTTAGTGTAATTATCCCTATGCAATAGGCTGTTGTTATATGCAGTGTAATTAGAAAGAAATATTTCTGTTGGTCGATAAAGTATTCCGTTATAATTTGCACATGAAATGGTCGAGATTCATTTATCGGTAAAATAATATCAAGAATACTTGTCCAATATTGGGTGATAATAAGAAGAGATGTACTAACAATACCACATGCTAAAAGCGTTTAAAAAAAAATATTGTTTATAGGTTTGCTATAAAATTTAAAAAATTTGCTGTATGTTATACACACAAAAATCTAAGTTAGAAAATATTTTTTTAATGTAATCATCAACTCAATGATTAAATTATATATAATCCATTATAATAAAATTATATTGTTTCTCACTTTGTACTCAGATATTTTGCAATATTTGCCACTTCATGTAATTGTAATAAATTTGATACTAACAATATATTATTAACATATACAAACTTTATATTATAATAATTATTGTAGTGTGCAAAGTTTATTTTTGGTTCAAGTTCAATAAGTTATGATTTAAATGAAAAGCATAAACGTATGCAAAAATCTATTAACTATATTCTTACTTGCAAGTATAGCAGTGTAACACTTTGCAATGTATCCATATTTTTCTACGATGGCATATTCATTTTCATCTTTTAATTGACTGTATGTACGTTCAGTTTGTGCCAGTAAATCCTTCAGCTACGTATCAATTAAATTTATAATATCATTTTTTTATATAAAAAATTTTTAAAAATAAATATATTTAATAGTCGTGTGATATCAGTATAATCGAATAAATAATATAAAATACAAATTATACTTACAACATTGATATTAACATTGAACGCTACGTATTTTGTCAGAAAAGTAAAAAAGAAACTTGTAGGGGCAAAAATTTTAATAACGAAATCGGAAGTACACTTTGCAGTCAACAAAGGGAAAACCTATGAAAAAAGGAATTATGTGAATATATTTATTGCATTAAAAATTATTTTTATGAGAATATCTTTAGAAGATTATCAGCTTCTAAATGGTATCTTTCAAATTAATAATTTCTTTATATAATGAAACAAATAAATTACTGTTACGTTCCACCTGGAGAAGGGCGGTCGGGCCGTAACTGAAGTGTATAACTCGCAGGTCAGAATTTAAAGGATCTGACTCTGTGTGTCGAACGGTTTGTTTGTTTGTTTCTACAAACGAGTCAAAACGGGGAAGTCAATTTTACTTCGTTTTGCAGAAATACCGTTCAATGGTTCCTTTTTAGGTTGTGAGATCAATTATCTGGGACGGAACCATGTGCGTATTACTTATCTCACTCGGATATGGCGATATTAAAATTTTTCACACTTTGTGCCTGTTTAAACAAATTTTCAGTTTCGAAGGATTGTTTTTTTTTATTGTTATTATTATTATTTGTCTGGAATGTTTGTTTTAAGTTGTTAGTCAGATATTTGAGCGCTCACTTTTGCTAACGGAAAAATTTTCATTACCGAGACTCGCTTTGAATTCTGCCAGTTAATTATTGGAAAGTTGCGAGAGGAAAAGATTGTGTAGGATGTAAGACGTAATATTACATAAATGTAATTATGTATTAATATGACATTTATATTTAATCAACTAATAATTATTATATAAGAATTACTTATTACTACATATTTTAACATATTAATTGGGTATTTGTAAAAGATTAGTATAAATTGTAATACGTTTTATTTGCATACATAGTAATAATATTAAGCTATTGTCTTACCTGAACTACAGCAGCGGTCAGCAAGATACCGAAGAAAAAAGGAACTGAAGTCGAACAAGTTTTGATTGTTGGTAGGGCCATAAGCCAACAGCGAGTAGAAGATATCTATTCAAATTAAAATGTTGCTCAATAGAGATCATATCTTTCTGAGTGCTGGTACACGTATGACTATGATAAAATTCACAAACGTGCTCTCACCCCCTTCTTTCTCGACGTATCCATTAAATATTCAATAACTCATTTTCTAGCATATGTTTCAGCGTAAATTTTTCAGTTGAGTATAACACAAGATTCTATCGTGAGATTAAAACATGTGCAATTCAACGAATTTGTTAGTAAGATGTGCATTATATAAGCAATTGATTCCAAATTAAATAAATTTCAAAATTTTTCATAGAGAGAAAAAAATAATATCTAGAAGACGATTATTTGTGCTAATGCTGCACATGCGCTTTTCTCTCTTTTCGATGTCATAACATCATTTCCATGTGAACTCTTATAGCTCCTATATATATCATACGTTTATTTTTTGAGAAAAAATTTTTACTGCTTTTTGTATGCTTTTGTATGCTATACGATACATATTAGTTTGAATATCGTGGATTATAGAAGTTAAATTTATAAATGTAAAGTAAAATTAATTGTTGTTATTTATATTCAAGTAAACATAAAAAACTGCTGATAATTAGTCCCAATACCACATAAGAATTGACACCAACTTTTCTGATTGATTTTAGTAACTAATCATTATTCAGTTGTTTTAGCCACAAAACATTTTAGTTTATGTTATATATATTTAAGAAATTAAATTTCTTCTAAAAGAATAAAATGTTATAGAAGATAAAAACTTTTATTTTTTATCTAGTTCTTAAAACTACTGTACTTTTAATTTTTATTATATTTAACTACTATTATATTATATTCTGCTACGATCTATCTTCATCGTGTAGAATGTATAACAGTAAAATAAGATACCGAAGCCTTCACCAACTGCAATAAAATATTTTCTTTTATTCTAACAAAAACACATTATATTTCTAATAAAAATACAATATATTTTTTACCGTGGCAAAACATTCTAACGATCCCACAAAAAGTCCACCGACACCCACTACGTATTCCTTAGTGCCCCTTTGCAACAGGAAGAGTATTATTTTCTGCACATTCAAAGGAATTATGTACCACGGAACATTGTATCTACGGATTTTTATAAATAAAGTATCTGTGAGTTGACAAATATTAAAATATTTACAAATAAATTTTAGCTGATAACTCCACGCACATAGCATTATTTTTTATTTTAATTATTTATTTTTTTTAATCTTGTGCAATTATATCTCATAATAAATCTCTTACACAGTAACGAATAAGTAATTATTGATATCTATAATATCTTGTCCCATATAATTCGCTACAAACATGTATAGTATACAGGCAGTTGTTAATGTAAAGGGCCATATCATTTCCTTAATATTAGTCTTGTCAGATGATACAATTTGTGAAATCTAATAATAAACTAATTGTAAATGTTCTGTTTATGTTCTATCAGTTTATAATACATTGTAAATTTTTTCTTATCTTCTAATCTTATCTTTAAATAGTAAAAAATGCAACAAATTTATATGAAAAAAAAATTATGTACGGTTGGTGAAATAACAATAAGATAGAAAGATTATTCTTAACATAATGGTATTATTAAAATTAAGTTTTAATGGAATAGTAAATTTCATAATAAAGTTTAAAAATTTAAATTTAAAGCTTACTCGAAAAAGATTGAGGCTCAGAGAAATTACTCCGATAAATATTAAACAACCTAACATGACTTCAAATTTCGATGATATTAGTCCGGTTAATCTTTAAAAATAAAAATTTATTATTGATGTATTGTATGTACACATTATCAAGATATATACAAACTTCATTGCTTGCCGATGAATGTCTACAGCGCAAGTTATCTCATCAAGAATTAAATTTTTGCTTTTAGGATTATTATTTTCTAATATAATAATTTTCATCATGCGTTCAATACGATAACTGTAAAAAACTAAACCAATATAAATTATCAAATCGTTTTTACTTGCATATATTTTGTCTTCATAAAGTAAACGTTATCTTTATTTGTTTATAGAATAATAATACAGTATTTTTATAATTTGAATATTTATAGCTGTTTCTATGTTTATTTCGTACCTGGCGAGTCTAAACATTCCACAAAAAATGTTGGACAAATGCAACAAGTATTGTTCCTGTTGCCGTTAGTGTAATTATGCCTATGCAATAGGCTGTTGTTATATGCAGTGTAATTAGAAAGAAATATTTCTGTTGGTCGATAAAGTATTCCGTTATAATTTGTACATGAAATGGTCGAGATTCGTTTATCGGTAGAATAATATCAAGAATACTTGTCCAGTATTGGGTGATAATAAAAAGAGATGTACCAAAAATACCACATGCTAAAAACGTTTAAAAAAAAAATTGTTTATAGGTTTGCTATAAAATTTAAAAAAATTGCTGTATGTTATGTACACAAAAATATAAATTAGAAAATATTTTTTTAATTTAATCATCAACTCAATGATTAAATTATATATAATCTATTATAATGAAATTATATTGTTTCTCATTTCGTACTCAGATATTTTACAATATTTGCCACTTCATGCAATTTTAATAAATTTGATACTAATAATATATTACTAACACTTTATATTATAACAATTATTCTAGTGTACAAAGTTTATTTTTGGTTCAATTTCAATAAGTTATGTGTTAAATGAAAAGCATAAACGTATGCAAAAATCTATGAACTGTATTCTTACTTGCAAGTACAGCGGTGTAACACTTTGCAATGTTTCCATATTTTTCTACGATAGCATATTCATTTTTATCTTTTAGTTGATTGTATGTATGTTCAGTTTGTGCCAGTAATTCTTTTACCTACATATTATTTAAATTTATAATATTATTTTTTTATATAAAAAGTTATTAAATGTAAATATATTTAATAGTCGTGAGATATCAGTATAATCGAATAAATAATATAAACTTACAAATTTCATATTAACATTGAACGCAACGTATTTTGTTAGAAAAAGAAGAAAGAAACTTGTAGAGGAAAAAAGTTTAATAACGAAATCGGAAGTACACTTTGCAGTGAACAAGGGGGAAACCTATGAAAAAAGGAATCATTATATTTATTGCATTAAAAATTATTTTTATGAGAATATCTTTAGAAGCTTATCAGCTTCTAAATGGTATCTTCCAAATTAATAATTTCTTTATATAATGAAACAAATAAATTACTGTTACGTCCTACCTGGGGAAGGGCGGTCGGACCGTAACTGAAGTGTATAACACGCAGGTCAGAATTTAAAGGATCTGACTCTGTGTGTCGAACGGTTTATTTGTTTGTTTCTACAAACGAGTCAAAACGGAGAAGTCAATTTTACTCCGTTTTGCTGAAATACCGTTCAATGGTTCCCTTTTAGGTTGTGAAATCAATTATCTGGGACGGAACCGTGTGCGTATTACTTATTTCACTCGGATATGGCGGTATTAAAACTTTTTAGATTTCGTGCCTGTTTAAATCTTCGCTTTGCTATTGGTAACGGAAAAATTTCCATTACCGAGACTCTCTTTGAATTCTGCCGGCTGATCGTTGGAAAATTGCGCAAGGAAAAGTTTGTTCAGGACGTAGGACGTAACATTACATATAAATGTAATTATGTGTTAATATGATATTTATATTAATCAACTAATAATTATTAATTGTAAGAATTACTACATATTTTAACATATTAATTGCGTATTCGTAAAAGATTCGTATAAATTGTAATACGTTATATTTGCTTACATAGTGATATTATTAAGCTATTGTCTTACCTGAACTACTGCAGCAGTTATTAAAGTACCGGAGAAAAAAAGGGACTGAAGTCGAACAAGTTTTGATTGTTGATAGGGCCAGATGCCAACAGCGAGTAGAAGAAGTCTATTCAAACTAAAATGTTGCTCGATGGAGATCATCTCTTTCCGAGTGCTGGTACACGTATGACTACGATGAAATTCACAAACATGCTCTCACCCCCTCCTTTCTCCGTTGATCGATTAGATATTCTATAACGTTTCCCTCTTAATATTTATTTCAATGCACATTTTCTAACTGAATATAATGCGAGACGGTATTAGTTGCCACCGTGAGATCGAAACACTAGCAATTTGACAAATTTATCTATGGGTTATGTATATGTAAGATATTTTTTTACTAACTAAATTAACTTACAGATGTTGTCTTCCCATAAAACAAAAAAAGAGAAAACTTAAGAGAACTATTTGCATAAGGTATGCGCCTGCTTTTTTTCTATACATCATTCTTTTGTGTGCATTTGTAAGAGATGTTTAGTTTTCAAAAGAAACAATTCACTGGTTTAAATATAATGTATTATACACGTATATTATTGCTAGTCATGTAACAAATGTTTTTTGCGAATAAAACTAACTTTATTTGATACATTTTTAGGATATTTCTTTGCATATATGTCATTACACAATTCGTTCTGAATTAAAGTTAAAAAATGAAATATTAATTCTACACACACATTAGTTATTTAAATGTAACGTTATATATCAGTTCATATGACGAGCTTTAAAAAGTGAATTTGATACTGCACGGTGCAAGGTTAAATATTATTATTTATGTCTCAAATAAAACAAAATATTGCATTTTGATGCGTTTTTATTGCAAGAACTTCAGCGCATCGAATTACTTTAATCTCAGATCCCTTCTGACATTTTTTTCTGGTAACAAAACATTTAACTGTTTGATGTTGCACATCAAAAGGTCAGCTTTCTACTTTTTAAGTATAATATGTCTTTTCTCGCATTGACTACTTTTTAGCTACGTATCTAGCATGGTTGTCAAATGTCTCGTTATCGTGTAGAATATATGACAGTAAAATAAGATACCGAGGCCTTCACCAGCTACAATGAAAGATGAGAGAGACGATAATGATGACTTTTTTTCATTGATATATATTTTTAATATATTTGTAATTTGTAATATATTTTTTAGATATACTCTTTTCTGTGTTTCTTTACCGTCGCAAAACACTCTATAGATGCAACAAATGTCCACCAACACTCAAAGTAAAATCTTTGGTTCCTTTTTGTAACAGAAACAATATCATTTTCTGTACATGCAAAGGAGCAGTGTACCATTGAACATTATACCTAGAAAACCATACAAATAAACAATCGATAATATGAAAAAAATAAGAAACAGCATAAATAATTGAGAATATTGTAACTCAATTGATTCGACAATCCAAATTTAAAATATATCAGAACTAATGAGTCAGGCTGGTTGTTCGTGCCGAAAGTATCACATATTTGTAACCAATTTAATAACAAACATTTCGACCTGTATTTAGATTATCTTTGATGAAACCATTACAATAAGTCAAGAAAACAGAAATTGCACACATTGGAATACGTGATCAGCAATTAATTCGCAAAAACGATCAGTCAATGCTCAGTTTTTCCTGTAGAAAGAAGATTTTTATAAGATTGTATCGCGTAAAATCTCTTACGCAGTAACGAATACGTGATGATTATGATCCGTAATATATTGCCCCATAATGTTGGCGAAAAACATGTATGAGATATTGGATGCTACAAATAAAAAAGGAAGTAGAAATTCCGTGACATCGCTTTCAGATGTTACAACCTGAAAAGCCTGAGACACAAATTTTATGAGAATATTCTTCTGCATGCATTACAATTATCAAGCTGCAGATAATAAACGATAACTTTTCGTTTCAAAGAGACGAAAAATTAAGGAATTTAAATGTTAAATAAATAGTAAAAAGCCTTCTCTTAGAATAAAACTATAAAAACTATTCTAAAATTCTAAAGTTACGTGAATTTACAATATTATTTTCTAAATGTAATTCGAGACTCAATAAAATCACTAGTGTTATAAATGCAACGCGATCTTTTATAAACATTATAAAATGTTGGAATTTTATAACAACGACGCTGGCTTGTAAATTTCTATCGTATTATTGCATAACGTTATCGGTCTACATAATTTTGAAACAATTTACATGTATTACAAAAAATTAAATACTTGTCATGTTAAAAAGATTTGAGGACAACATAGAAAACTTACACGAAACAGATTGAGGCTCAAGGAAATTACTGTAATCATTATTAAACAGCATAACAAGATGTCAATTTTAGACACCAAATGTTTGCTTAATCTACAAAAATAAAAGTATTACTACTCACGCATGCTATACGTATATTGTCTCGTAGTTACTAACTTCATAGCCTGCCGATGAATATCTACAGCGCAAATTATACCTTTGCATGTAAAACTCTCATCCTTTTGATTATTATTTTTTAATAATTCAACATTAACACCCACAGCGCGTTCAATTCGATAACTGCAAGTAACATGTTATTTATTAGCATGATCCTTGCATTAAGCGTTCAAAATAATAGCATAATTTTTTTTCAATCTTAGCGGCTATTTTTATGTACATTTCCTACCTTGCAATTCTAAACATTGCACAAATGTGAAGAAGATATGCAATGGGCATTGTTCCTATCGCTAACAGTACCATTATCCCTAGGCCAAACGCAGCGTTTATATGAAACAGAATAAAAAAATAATATTTTTCTTGATTAACGAAGTATTCCGTGTTGAACTGTATACTACGTGATCGAGATTCATTTATCGGTGAAAGAACGTCGAGGATACTCGACGAATATTGAGCAGCGATAAAAATAGATGCAGCACCAATTCCTATTGCTAAAAGTTTAAAAGAAAAGATATAAATTTTATTTTCACAACGTTTCACAATTGTTTTACGTTATACGACACGGCCGCGCGCGTGCGCGCGAGCACCACACATACATTGACATACATATCTGCTACAAACTTTAATATTTAATATTTGGTAATTAAATGATTGATTTATATATACAATACATAAGAAATTCTAATATTGATAATTGATATTTTTTGCTATATCGTAATATGAAATGCTTTGTATGGCTTTTAACTACTTATCTTATAATTAGTAAAATATATGTGTGACATATTATATATTGTGTAAATAAATTATATAGCGTGTGAGATCTCTCATACTATTCGATTTTTATAATCTATAAAAATCAAGAAGCATTATCTTACATATGAGAATAACCGTGTAACACTTTGCATAGTGATTATACTTTTCTACAATAGTATATTCATTTTTATCTTTTAATTGGTTGTATACATGTTGAAGTTGAATTAGTAAATCCTTTATCTATAATTCAAAAATTTATTATTTTTGTAAATTGAAAAAAAAACTTTAATTTAAAAATTTTTTAATTTAAAACAGTTTGAATGTAATATATTATTATATGTATATTTGCATGTGTGTGTGTGCGTACATCTACTATTAATTGTAAACTTACATCTTCGACATTACCGTTAAACGTGATGTATATCATCGCAATGGTAATAAAATAAAGTGAGATAGAGAGAATTTCGATAATTAAATCAAGAGTACATTTTGAAGTTAATAATGTCGTATACTACAAAAGCAAACATTTGTTTAAAGTTTCCTAATTAAAATTTCTTTATGTGATTAGCAATTAAATCATATATTTTGAATTATAATATATATATATATCTTTATTAGATATATATAAATAAGAAAACAAAACAACTTTCATAATTATAATTATACAATTATATATAATTAATAAGATACAATTAAAACATAATTAATTAATAAGAATTATTTTTCAAAAATATACTTATAATTATTATAGAGTAATGTACAGTAAAAATATTTCCTTACCTGAAACAAGATAGCGGTCGTTATAATACTTAAGAAAAAGATGAAACGATATCGAGCATACTTTGAATGTTGATAGGGCCATAACCCTAAAGCGAGCAGAAGAATTCTATTAAAATTAAAATATTGTTTCACGACACAGACCATTTCTACGAGGCAAGAAACATACATGACTACTACGAAATCAACAAGTGTGCTTGCACCCTTTTTTCCTCACCGATCGATATTCTATACCTTCCCTCCTTTAGTATCTGTTTCAGTGCAAATTCCGTAATTGAGCATAATGCACAATTGAGTATAGCATAAAATATTACCGGAATATTATCGAAACAAATTTTACAAATTTTCGTAATAGTAAGATGTGTACATTTTAGCAATCTATTTGTCGACGAATAAAATTTAACAGATGTCTTTTTCGCATGAAAAAAAAAAGAGACAAAAAAACATTTAAATAAAACTTTTCATAGAAGCAGTCAGACACCGCTCTTCTCGACGTCGCAACTTTGTTCTAATGTGCGCGACTTAAAATACGTACAGTCTTCGAAAAGAAAATTCTTCAGTTTCAAATGTAGCATGTCAACTGTCAAACTATCATTCTTCAAAAATAAGTAGCATCATTTTTAAGTAGAAATAGTATGACATACAACACGATCAAAATTTTTTAACACATATATATATATATATAGTTACTTTTTAAAAACAAATATAACAACATAAATAAAACAACAAATATACTTATATTAAGATCACTTACTTAAAAGTAATTTAACAATAAGTATGTACAATATATATCGTAAATATTGCAATGTAATCAAATCTATATCATTATTTAGATTTGAAAAGAAACATACAAAAATAACTAGATACGTAGTAAAGATTTGATGCATCTACTTTTTAATTTAATAATTCTACATGCAGATTTATATACATATTTTCGCTTTTTGGAGTAAAATAGTACACGCTGTAAAAATTGGATTTTATTTTTCAAAGAAAATGTGTAGAATGCTTATTTATTTTTCTTATTTACACACATTTTTTAAACTACGTTAATATTTGTATATTTTATTTTATCTCATCATCGCATGGAATGTACAACAGTAAAATATGATACCGAAGTTTTTACCAACTGCAAAAATGTCTTTTTTGTTATTGTATTTATGTTTAATATGTTTCTTAAATACATCATATACTCTATATTTTCTTACCGAAGCAAAACATTCGAAAGATGCAAAAAATAGTCCACCGACAGTCAAGGCAAAATCTTTAGCTGTTTTTTGTAACAGAAATAGTATCATTTTCTGTACAGGCAACGGAGCTAAATACCACGGCACATTGTATCTAGAAAATTAT